ACAGTATGTTATGGTGTAGCACTCACTAAGGTGGGAACATCAACTCTTAACATATTGCTATCAGCTATTCACCATATAGCAAAAAACACATTCTGTAGGTTACAGTATGGCATAGTATGTTGAGGTGCACCAGAGAGATCTCTGAACTTAATGTCAAGATAACCCAAAAGGAAAAGAAGCCCTTTTCTACCAAGTTCCATGCATTATATGTGTTGAGAAAAGCTGTTTTCATAGAAATAATGAAATAACGAAAATTTAACATATGCTTACATTAAATTCAAGTTGTGCAATATGTTGATTAGGCACAAGTTAGTTGTTAGAGTTCTCATTTAAAATATTTTATATGTTACTATTTTATTGCCAAATCTGATTATATTTAATGTATCATTTAGAGTATGCTTTTAAGGCCATAAACCAGGGTGGTCTTACATCAGTAGCTGTTCGTGGAAAGGACTGTGCGGTTGTCGTCACACAAAAGAAAGTACCTGTAAGTAACAGTATACTGGGGAAACCTGATTTTTCCTTGATTATATGCTGTTGATATTTAATTATTAACTCCACTGCTCTTTGTTTTAAGTTCTGGGGTTCTTTGGGACAAGTGTGGCAAGGGGATAACAATTTTATTTCCTGTCATTGATTGGAGGTGACAAGGGGGTTCCCCATTTAACTTCTCAAGTGGGGAGGAGAATTGAGAAATTCTAGAAGTGGAAGAGTTGGGTCATCCATACCTCTGTTAGGACCGGATTGCAGCTGAGAACAAGAGGCTCTTTTTTGCACTAGAGCATAGTACAGTATGTGAAGAATCCACTGTAACAAGTGATTCCCACTCCATTGCAGCTTCTAGAAGGAGTTTAGAAAGTATTTGTTTTTGCTTAATTGTGTTACGTCATGTTACCCTAACCAACAAATTATGGTTAATATTAACTATAATTTGTTGGAGAAAAGTCAAGCCATATGAGGAAATGTATGAAGCTGTTAAAACATGGCTGTTCTAACCCCAACTTGTTTAAGATAATGGGGTCTTCATGGTTTCCATCATATCATCTTTTTCAATTCTGTCAGCTTTTAGTATTTTTTAAATGCCGTGTTAGTAGCTTGGAGGGAGAAAAAAAACCTAGGAACTAAGCTTCATCTAATGGAGTACTATCTAAAATTGTTTTCTGTTTTATCCATTAGGACAAACTACTGGATTCTAGCACAGTGACCCACCTGTTCAGAATAACTGAAAACATTGGATGTGTAATGACAGGAATGACAGGTATGAAGATCATCCAGATATATAGCAAATGAGGGTAGTCTACAACATTGACCTGAAGCTTAGGTTTCAGTTTTTTTTTACTTAAATATACAGTGCATTTAATATTCCATGTGATGTATGTGATCAATTTAAATTTAAACTTGTGGTTGACAAATGAGCAGATAAGCTTGTGCATATTGCACAGCAGCCATGGAGTGGGGAAGTGGTGAGTTTGAAATGATTGTATAAATCTATTTCATGAGAAAGCAAGGTTTGGAATATATTTTTCTTTTAACAGTATAAGTTATGCCAATATGTTTATTATGTTATGGATAAGAATTACTTAGTTCTTTCTCTTTAATTTCAGCTGACAGTAGGTCCCAGGTGCAGAGAGCCCGTTATGAAGCTGCAAACTGGAAATACAAATATGGATACGACATTCCAGTAGACATGCTATGTAAAAGGATTGCAGACATTTCTCAGGTCTACACACAAAATGCAGAAATGAGGCCTCTTGGTTGTTGTAAGTATTCTAAATTATATACTTTTTGTTTTGCTGGTGAGATCTTTCCTGAGCAGAGTTCTGCTCATGGAAAATTGGGAGATACCATTTTTGGCTAATCCTCACCTGCAGCGTCTTGTGCTGTAATGTCACTGAAGATCCCCCAGGTCTTTGGAGCATCTAGACCAGGGGTCTCAAACTCAATTTACCTGGGGGCTGCAGGAGGCAGAATCTGGGTGAGGCTGGGCTGCATCAGATTTTCCGCCAAACGGCAAGAGCCTGAGGAAGCCACCCAGGAGTTTCCTTAGTCCAGCTGGGGCTCCGAGGTGGAGCGGCGCACGAGCTGTGGTCACTGGCCACGACCCCCTCCAGCCTCCTTCTTCACTACCACCAGCAGCAGCAGCAGGACAAAGAAACAGAGAAGGGTGGGAGCACCGGTGACCACCTAGCGGGGGGGAGGGGGGCACGACATAAAATTTAAAAAAGAACCCTCACAGAATTCTCCTTGCCAAAGGAGAAAAGCCCCCACCGGTACCCGCAAAATTAAACAGAACGGGGCGGGGGGCCCACAGGCACGTGCATGAATGCACGCACACAACCTTCCTCTGAGGGCCCCCCCTCAAAAAAGGCGCACTCAGCAGCAGCAACTACCCCCACCATGACAGGGGAGCAAACTTTGCAAGGCGAGCCCAGGCAGCCTCCAGAGCCGATGTGGCTGAAGCAGGACTAAGAAGAGGAGGAGGAGGAAGCACCACCAGGTGCTGAGGCGGCCACCTGCCAAGCTGGTGCTAGGGGTGCCGAGAGAGAAAGAGAGCCAGAGAGCTGCTTCCCTGGAAGAGGCGGCGGCAGCTGCTGTTGACGGCTTGGAGGCGCTCTTCGAGGATGGGACGGGAGCGAGCTCCGCTCTCAGGCATCACTCGGCGGTGGCTAGGGCACTCGGGGGGGGGGGGAGGGGGTGGCAGCGCACCTTGCTTGCCGGCTCTCCAATAGCGCCTCTTGCACCCTTCCATCCGAACTGCAGCCTGCCAGCCAGCAGACAGGCGGGCTGGCCGGCAGGCTGCAGTTCCGGATGGAGGGTGCAAGAGGCACTGTCTTGGGAGAGAGCCGGCGAGTGAGGCAAGGCTTTTTTTGACTCTTGACAGCAGAGGATGCGTGGGCGCTTCGGGGGGCAGTCAAGTTGGGGGCCACAAACTTATCATCCAGCGGGCCTCAAATGTTTGAGACCCCTGATCTAGACCAAGGCTGTATAATTTTCCACCGCTCCAGATCCCTTGAAATTACCTAATTCTTTGCTGGCTGGGGATTGTGGAAACAAGCTCAAAACATCTGAAGAGCCATATTTCTCCTGCCCGTAATCTAGACCAATAATCTTTCTGTTTTGTATCCCTGGCTCCTGTGCTGCCTCTTCAAAAACTATTAATATTTGTGTGTTTCTTCCTGTGACAGCGGGGAATGATTTCAATATCTTCCTTTTCTCACAACTGTAGGCTTGTGTGTTCCATCCTCCCCCTCGTCCTATGCTCACCTTACACAGTTACACCAAAAGATACCCTACCTGAATGTATCCTGTATGTCAAAACGGGATGTCTCCAAAAGAATTTTTGTACATACTGATTTGTCCTCAGAGTTAGCTGTATGTGAATAGGATGTCAATTTTAGTTGAGGTTAAAAGGTAGGAGGTTTGTATGCTCAATTTTTAGTGAAGAGACGATACAGTCTTAGGGAGTTGTAGAAAAGACTTTCAAAACACATTTAAGTATATATCAAGATGGCTGGGCTGTATGGATGGCGGGGCTCTATTGATAACAGGGATATCTGCTTTGTATTACGGTACATAACAATCATTGTTACCTCACTCTTTCTCAGGTTGAGAATTGACCAAGATTACTAGGCTGTGTAGTGGGTTTGCTCAGGCCTTATACCAGTATTGAATATTCTACTCTGCCTGTTATAACTGTTCAGATGCATATCTAAAAAACATCAAGTGAAATCTGAATTTTAAGTATTGTTTGCTTTTATTAAAGCCGTATTACAGATGGGATTTTTTGCTTATTGTTTTTCTTTGTACACCACTCTGCTTTTTAGGAGAGAAAGCTAAGATACGTGTTGGAATAAAACAGTTTCTTGGAACTGAAGCCTTGCTAAAAGGTACAAGGCACTCTGGAATGGAATTTATTTCCAAATAATGCAAATCCCTTTATTTTCAAGAATCTGTTTTCAGATAATGATATAGTACTGCAGTGTACAATGTTCAGGGATCAAGAAGAATTTATTTTGATTTCTATGCCAAAGGCTTTTTCCCCCTTCAAATTTGAAATTGTCTTTAAAGATATGTGGATTTTGAAGAGGGTTAACATATCTCAGATATTGTTCCAAAATGGAGAATAGGTTCATCTTTAAAACTGAACATTGAGATGTAGCAATTTAATAAAGTTTAACATCAGCAATATCATAGTGCCTTTAAAATATTGCATACTGTTGTGTTTGCTGCTACATGTAACGAGGGATACTGTAGGACAGTGGTTCCCAGCCTTGGATTCCCAGATGTTTTTGGACTGCAACTTCCAGAAATCCTGGCCAGCACAACTAGTGTTGAAGGCTTCTGAAAGAACATCTTGTGACCCAAGTTTGGGAACCACTGCTGTAAGTCTATGAAAGGTACAAAAAAGGCAAGAAAAGTAATCAAGATGCTGACACTACTCTCCTGTGATAAAAAGGTTATCAGATTATAGTCTTTGTAGTTTAGGAAGAAAGTGGAAAAATGCTAGAGGTGCATAGTATCTTGCATAGGCCAGAATCAGATTGCTGTTTCCATATGTTTTGCATAAGTTGCAGTTGCTAATAAGCAATTAATTGACATTGTGCCAGGGCACATTTCAATTATGTGTCCATCTTCCCAGTCAAGATACACCTTAGGTCCTTATCATTTAGCCATAATTGACTATAACAAATTACCCAAATCTTACACAAACACCAATAGGTTTCTAGCCATATTTCAGAAAAAGTGGAGTTGGAGTGGTGGTTTGTCATACTGGAGTCCAGGGTTGTTCAGTAGTGAAAACTATAGAGATTACTTTCACAGCTTAGGGTGATGGCCACCAACTTGAGCTGTAATGAAATTAAACAAATTTATGAGGTGAAGTGACAAGTGACTTCTAGTAATGATGGCTGTGTGCTTGCTACAGAGTTGGAGACAAGATACCAACGAACACTAGATGCTGGGAAGCAGCAGTCAGAGAGGGCTTTTGCTTTCATGTCCTGCTTGTGTCTTCCTGTAGGTGCCTGTTCAACCACTGTGAGAAACAGGATTATTTATGTATTCAGCAAATAGGTTCTTAACCATTCTCCCAGACCAGAACCCAAGGTGGTTCATGATATCAATTTTAAAAGTGCAGCTAAAATGCAAATTGTAACATCAACACACATGTTACTGTGTTGAGAAAAATAGTATGGTATTGTCAAATTGATTCTAACTCTAACCTTGATAGTGTTTCCTGTGTATAAATTACTCAGAAGTGTTTACCAGTACTTTCTTCTGGTGGTGCCCTAAGATTGTGCAGCTTGCACAAAATCAAACAGGCTGGCTCTTCTAGGAGGCACAGTGGAAACTGAACTCTACAGAACAAGCCCTGAGGCATAGTACTGTTTCACTGAGATTCATAGTGGCCAGTTTCCCAAGAAGCAGAAAGCTCTGTCTCTGCAGGAAGTCAGTTCTGCATTGAACACACAAACAAGAGCAGTTAAGAAATTATCTGTGGGCAGACAAAGGTGGCTCTTTTATCAGTACTCTTCTACCATCTTCACAAGTGTATAGACTCATTGAACTTTCTTGCAGGCCAGGCAAAATATTGTATATGCTAACCACGACCCAACCATTTTCCAGAGTAAAGCCTGGTGAGACATGTACTGGTGATTACAACAGCAGCTCACACTTCCTGTCTGCTTTTCTGAAACTGAGGGGGAGGGAGCATGCATTGTTGGGCCGTTGTTGGGCACTGTGGAAAGGTGCCCCATGTGCCTGCAGTCAGTGGAGAACTTGCTTCAGGAGGAGGTTGTCAGTTTAGGCCTGTACAGTTAAGGCTTTTCAGGCATCCTGGCCATGAAGTTGCCAAACAATCTGCATTCCTCACCCCACATTTGGAACTTGTGGGAGCAGTACTGAATGCAGCTGCCTGGATGATTCTTTCCTACCCAGTTCAGACTTGGGAGGTGGGTAGTAAATGAATCATCCTCACCAGAGGACTGTGCCACACTCAGCATTGCAGTCAGATAAGTTTTGCCTGTAGACTAAAATAAAGCCCTTGGATGACAAAAATCAATCCTGAACATTTGAAATGTTGGCTTTGTGGAGAATATTGATTTAAAAATGTTTTTTTCTCCTAAAGGCATGATTATGATTGGCATTGATGAAGAAAACAATCCTCAGGTATACAAGTGTGATCCAGCAGGATACTATTGTGGATTTAAGGCCACAGCTGCAGGAGTCAAACAGACGGAATCAACTAGCTTTCTTGAAAAGAAAGTGAAGAAAAAATTGGACTGGACATTTGAACAAACAGTGGAGGTAAGTCAGGAGTATTATTTGTAACCTGGGTTCCAAAATGGCAGACAATGTTTGAGGCTTGGGATGAAATAGAGGGGGACAATGACATGTTTTTCTTTTGTATGGTCATTGTCAAAATGTATGATGATTCTCCTTTGCAAAATGCTACACAGATAAGAACAAAAAATGATGTCTTGTGATTCAGACATCTGTGGTTGATGTACCATTGCATATTGAGTAAAACTTCATGCATTTCTGTTCTGTCAAAGCAAGAAAATCCACCTATTTTACTTTCATGAAGCATGGTGCTACCTATTGTGGGCATGTGCTAGGAAAAGGAGTTGAACATATCCTTTGTTTATAAACATTGGTTGCTTGATTTAGGTTTACGATCTGTTCTAGTACAGTGGTGCCTTGACTTACGGATATAATCCCTTCCAGAAGATTGACGTAACTTGAAATAGTCGTAAGCGGAAGCACCATTTCCCATAGGAATGCATTGAAATGCAATTGATCCATTCCGGTCGAAGAAAAAAAATCACAAAAAAAATTAGAAACGTGATTAATCCCTCCCAGCCGAAGAGGAAAACAAAGAAAAGCAATCAAGCATGCAGGATCCATTGGAAATGCACAGAAAACAAATGGAGCAGATGGGAAGTGCACAGAGAACAAAGGGGGCAGGTCGGAAATGCAAAGAAAAGGAAAAAGCAAGGGAAGCATGCAGGACCCATCAGAAATGGGGAACCCCCCCAAAAGCAACCAAACCCCCCAAGACCCATTGGAAATGGAGGAAAAACCCAGACAGCAAACAACTCGCCAAGACCCATCAGAAATTGGGGGGAACCCAACCAACCAACAAACAACCCCCCCCAAGACCCATCATAGCACTGAAACATAACCCCCCCCAGCAGAAACCTTCCTTACCAGGCAGCCCGAAGCCTCCCTGCAAACATACACATTCACTCAGAAGCAGAAGGAGACAGTCCCAAGTCTCTTCTGACACACACTCTTAACTGCTGGGGAAAAAGAGTAACAAAGAAACAGCCTTGTCGCCACCTATAGTTAGAAATTTGAATTTCTCACCTTTTTCCCCTGCCTTTTTCTGTTCATAAGTGGAAGCTCCGGTCACAAGTAGAAGCAAAACTTGGTGGTCAGAGCTGGTCGTAATTTGAAATAGTTGTAAGTAGGGAGGTTCGTAAGTTGAGGCACTACTGTAAGTGAAGAGGTTTGTGAATGAAATCATAAAAGAGTCATCTTTTTGAATATATCTTAAGTTACTATACTAGGCCCTGTTTATTTGGCTTATCAGGACGGCAGTAAATAAAAATTGTAATGCTGGATCAAGAGTGTGACATAGAACCTCATGATCTCTGGAAATATTTTAAGTGGGGAAACAGATTTAAGCTTCTTCCCCTCCACCACCACCCCCGAGGCTTCAGATTTGAAGATATGGTCTCTCTCTCTCTCTCTCTCTCTCGACACATGCACAGCGGTCTGTTGCAAAGGCAATTTTTCTTGGCATTTGCACAAGGGAATTTACTGCTTTCTGTACATGCAAGGAGTCCCCTTATTTTCAGTGGGGCAGCCTTTGGCTCCTATAACTGCAAATTGCAATTTGTGTACTTTTCCTTAACAGAATTCTGCCTGTGAAATTTCCTAGCTTTACAGTCCCTGGCGTGTAATCTGCTTCCATAACAGTGGGTTTTTGCAGCACTGGAATCCCTCTTTGCTTTCTTGTCCCCTCCTCCCATAGCTGTATATTTTACCCCTGAAGGACATACAATGGACCCTCGACTTACAGACGGCTCCACTTACAGACTTTTTGAGTTACAGACTTCTCTGGCTGCCAAATTTAGGTTCAACTTGCAGCCGGAGAATCAACCTACAGACCGGAAAAAAACACAACAAAATGGAACAGAAACGACCGGTTACGGATTAATCGGTTTTCAATGCATTGTAGGTCAGTGGAGTCTCGACCTACAGACTTTTCGACCTGTAGCCACCATTCCAATACGGATTAATTCCGTAAGTCGAGGGTCCACTGTATCACTTGCCTGCTAAAGAAAGTTAGCATAAACAAGCCATAGCTAAATTTTGGCAGAACATCAAATCCAAAGCAGTCCCTCTATGCCAGTGTTTTCTGTACATCATGTGGTGGTTCTTGGAGTTGAGGGACTTGCCATGCCACTCTTGTGCATTGTTCTGTATCTCATACCGTACATGAACCATGAAGTAACGCTGTTTCATCATCCAGTTGTATTTAATAATACTTTGCCCTGAGCCCAGTTGAACACCAACCTGTTTTTTAAGTAATATGGCAGATACTAATTAAAGCATCTGTTTTCTGTTAGTGAGAGTTGACCTGTAGAACAGCAGGTGAGAGCAGTTTGGCAGTTTCATTAAAGGCTTTTGTTGAGTGCACAGAGAAGGGAATGGAAACATGTTGATACAGGGAGGCGAGCATGTTTGGCCACCTGAATTCAGAGCTGTCTCCTTAGAGTCAACAGCTGGTCAGAGTGGTGGTTGTTTGGTGTTTTAGCATTAGTTCCAAGATATTTTTTTAAGTTGGGTGTCCTAACAGAAGATTGCTTGCTGTTACAAAGAGCATTAACCACGTGCCCTGAGCACAGTGATTAAACTGCAGTACTGTAGTCAAGTATCTGCTCATGACCTGTGTTCCATCCAGGTAACTGGCTCAAGGTTGACTCATCCTTCCAAGGTTGGTAAAATGAGTGTCCAGCTTGCTAGAAGGCAAAGTGTTCCTTGCTTAATTATGTTGTTGCTCTAGTACCATCAGATGGTATACAAGTTTAATCAATCTGTTTTGTTCACTTAGTGGCCTGGAGAGGTCATGCCCTTCTTGAAAGACACGTTTGGGTCTGCTATATAGACAAGAAATTCAGCATAGATTTTTCCCCCACTATAGCTGTCTCTTCAGAAGTCCCTAGTGAAATCAGCTGCAGCTAAGAGGAGCCCAGGAAGAAGCCAGGCAATTGCTAGGCACATTTCAGTAGAAGAGTCATGCTGGGCAAATACGAGCAAGAATAAGGACTTTTCTGAGGGGTGTCATCTCCATGCCACTATTTCAGGATAATTTTCTTAAAAAAACAGCCAGGAAGAAACTACAATTCAAAGGTTAGTTATCATGGCTAGCCATAGTTTGCCCAGGCTAGAGTTCATAAGTCAGCAGCAAACCATGCATTGAAATAGTGGTTTGCAAACAGAGACAGGAACAAACCAAATTTCAACAACCACACCATCACTTTTGCGAGATGTGGAAAAGATTAATAATTGTGTTTAAGAGGGAATTTCAGGAAGTATATCTTCTGTGAAATAATATTCCTTCTTCTACACATGTGTTAAAGGTACAAAAGCCCTGTAATGCGTTACTTGTGGCCACCATAATTATGATGTTTTTAAAAATGGCCACATTGAGCTCTTTTCTGTTGTAAGCCGCAAGTGGAATAGACCCATGGGATCAATGGGACTTACATATGTGTGGATTTAACAGGTGAAATTAATTCAATATTTCTGTTTTACTTGGAACGAGCCAGTGTAGCCTATCATCCCTTGAAGGCAGGCACAACATGTTAAAATAAGACACAGCTTGTAGTGTTGAAATGTCTAATAATCTGAAGCAGCTGAAAATGGGTCTGTTTTTTTTGTTTTGTTTTGTTTTGTTTAGTCCTGCAGAAGGACTTGGCAACAGGGGCTACAAGAAATTAGTTTGCAGTCATCATCTGTATCCTGAGGGCTGTTCTGCAAATTGTAGCCAATATCATTAAGCCTTAAATATTAATCACTTTTGTATATACATTTTGTGCCTTTTGATAGCCGTAGTAGAACTGTTAAACTTCATGCTTGTTCATGCGTATCAGTAGTTCTGCAAATCTGATTCTCTCAGTTGGAGCAGAATGTTGAAATGAAATACTTTGTAGCTTTTACAAAAAGATAAACTTCTGTTAATGAAATTATTTTCTTTTAGTGTTTGACGTACAAAGCTGGCAGTTGAAGTCCCAGCTTTTTGTATCATGTTTGAGTTATAACTTCACAGAGCACACATGATGCTTTTGAGTAGCATTTTGAAGCTTCAGCAAACTGTTGTTAGCTCTTGTTATTTAAAAGTATGTATCTAAATTGCTCCTTTTTTGCCTTAATATATTTAATTTTAATATATTCATTTTCTCAGTGATGTGATTGTAAATTACCAAAAAAATGGGTTTAACCTCAATTCAAGTACATTTTCAAATCAGTGGCATTCTTACTATCATTATACCCCATACAGCACCCTTCAAATATCTGGAACTGCAGCTTGCTCTCTAGTGTTTATTGTACAGTGGTGTCCCGCTAGACAATTACCTCGCAAAACGGTTAATTCGCTAGACAATGAGTTTTTGCAATCACTATAGCGCTTTGCAAAACTGTGTTTCCTATGGGTGATTTTCGCTGGATGACGTTTTGGACCGTGCTTCGTGAGATGGTTTTTTTGGGGGGGGACCAATTTTCTCAAGACGACGATTTTGACAGCTGAGTCCGCGACTCTCAAAACGGGTGTTTTCGGGATCGTTTTTCTCAAGACAGTGATTTTTACAGCTGAACCGCGCTTCACGAAACGGTTTCTCTATGGGCGATTTTTGCAAAACAACGACGATTTTTCCCCATTGGAATGCATTAAATGGATTTCAATGCATTCCAATAGGGAACCGCATTTCGCAAGATGATGTTTTCACAAGGCAGCGAACGAATTAACATTGTCTTGCGGGGCACCACTGTACTTGCTGAATCTGAGGCAACTGGTAGTTAAATCAGTACGTTAGAGAAGGCTGGTACTACAAGTAATGCTTTCTGTGGAGCCCTTTTAAATCCATGGGAGAGAACATTGCATTTGTATCATAGTATGAGATGCTCTCACACCAGGAGCCTAGATGATTTTTATAGATGCCAAAGATTCTATGGCTGAAGTGCTATTGAGTAGCTATGCTTGTGTAACTCAGTGTTATCTAAGTGGTGGCTGTAATAGTATCAGAGTGGAAGAGCTATTCACAAAGCACTTCAATAGGCGTCTTCCACGGTTATGTTGGGAACTGCACAACTGATTGTGCAATTTACTCTCACAGTGCTCATTGCCTGGGTGCAGTGCCTAGCAAAGTTCTGCCTGTGTAACTTTATGTGGTGACATAAAGAATTCAGACTTAACACAGCAGGCTTGTTGTAGGATCTTGAAAACAAAGACATCTTGTTGTCTTTCCTGCCCCCCCCTTTTTTTGGTTTAGCTGTGGATTTAAAGTCAATGGAAGAAATTGCATTTTAAAATTAGCTGTACCCTTTAGAATAGATGTTTTTCCAGAGTATTCCAAAATAGGAAATACAACTACCAGACAAAGAGTATGTGCAGTTTTCCTTTTTCACTGTGTTAATTAAATTGAAAATATAGACTCTGTGTATACCCAGTGGCAGGCTTGTTTCTCAGAACGTCTCTATGAGCCATTTTGCAATTGTCTCTGCAAGTCTGAGCTGTAAAGAATGACTGCAAGCTGAGTTGTCTGCCCTGCTTCTCAACACAGAAGAGGGAACTCTATTGGAATTGACTATTTGAAATACTTTTAAGTGGGCTTTGTGTTTGGATTGAGCATGTATCAGAATGTAAATGTTTCTTGTATTTATATTCTTTGATTGTAATGTTTTCCTGTGTAATTAACTTTTAGACAGCAATAACCTGCCTCTCTACTGTCCTGTCCATTGACTTCAAACCTTCTGAAATAGAAGTAGGAGTCGTTACACTCGATAATCCTAAATTCAGGTAAAGAGTGCTTGTAGAATTCCTGTTACAGTACTTTGTTTAAAACAACCAATTAGTTCCTTTCTTTTTCACAGCTAGTTTAATTGATCCTGGTATTTCTCCTCCATGGCAGTAGAATCTAGAGTGTTTCATTTTATTGTACATAATCAGGGGGATAATCATCTGTGCCTGTGTGGTAATAGTACCTGCATGCTTTCTGGGATTTTTAAGAAGTGTGCATATTGCAGAACTTTCCAAGTGACCCTGAAGAATACCCAAAACTTGAAAAATTTTAGAGGGCAAAGACCATGAGATAATGTAAATATGTGATCAATGTTTTGAAAGAAGAGCGCAATGAAGGTTTTAAACATGGTGAAGAATAGGCCTAAACACATAAGGCCCAACAATGAAAGAGCTGCAGGGGATATTTAAAGGGTCAGAGCAGTGCTAAACTACCATTTGCAGTTTGGAGTCAGAAGTCTCACAGTAAAGAGAACAGAGAACACCACAGAACTACAGTGATAGAATAATAAGAGCTTTCCCGAGTTTAATATTACCAGTTCTAGCTGAAATTTAGCCCATATGTGATCCCATAGTGCTGGTCCTCCTCAGCTATGCAAAATAGTATTCATAAAAAAATAAGAAAGTGAAATTGGGGAGTACTTTGACCATCGGCCTTGCTCTTGGCTGACTGGTTGAAGCGAGTTCTCATTTGAACTTGCATTGCACTTCAGAAACGATTGGAAGCCCTGGCTCTCTTGCTTCAGAGGAGTTCTGAGTCTCATGGTGTCTGCAGGCATGAGCCCTTGCCATTCTCTCAAGCTTAGGGAAAGGGAACTCTTCCCTACGGTCATTACTACAGAGGAGCTGCTTTTAAACCCAAGATGCCCTTAATTCATTGAGTACGAATATAATTTTAAAACATCACAAGTCAATTTGCTTTGAGGCTTGCCCACGTGAAAATATCACTAGTGTGTTTCTTACAGACAAGTAGGGCTGACCAGTTTGTGTGGATGTTCTAATTGTGCATAGGTGGCTGTTTTGCATTGATGAATAAATGATTTCTATTGCTTTCATCCCTCTTCTAGTATCCTTACAGAAGCTGAGATTGATACGCACCTTGTTGCTCTAGCGGAGAGAGATTAACTCTACGTAGAATTCCAAATTCTGTGATGTCCAGCCAGAATGTCTGGTGAAACCAAACTTGTTAATGGCTCTAGGTTGCGGCCTGAAAATGGAACACTCTTTATCTGATGTATTTCAATCTGTATAAATAAAACTGAGGTTTTGGAATACTTTGTGCTCTCTTTTTTTACAAGCACTGAACTGTATGATCTGTCAGTAGCAAAATGACTGCATTTTCCAGTGTTTTATAGTTATGAATATTCCTGCAAGTAGCCACAGCTTTGAAAAAGCATTTTCATAAGTAGGGTGAAGGTACTGCTGTCTTTAAAATGGTCAAACTAATATTCATAGTACAATAATATTATCTTATGCTCTCAGAAACCAAACCAGCATGTGACAGAAAGCCTGTAGCACAATACTCTGTATGTATATTTAAAAACATACCTTCTCATTTTCTCCCAGGTAAATGATTATAATATTGAGCCCTTGGTGAAGATGTGATCTAAGCAAATTCCAAAAAACTGATGTCAGGAAGACAACAGAACTAATATTAAAATGAAATCTGTTAAGGCCCCAGCCCCCAGTTCGTGGCCCGGTGTCGGTCCGTGGCCTGAGCCAGACTGGACTGCGAAGACAGACCTCGTGCCCCACCCACTGCATGAACTCACACCCGCAAAGGCTGTTTGCTTGTGCACATGCGCGAATAGTGGTGCTGCCATTCATGCATGCGCACGAGCACCCGCCTGCACAAGCACTGTGCCACCGTTTGCACATGAGCATGGGGTGCCCCACCTTCCCCAGCCGGTCCATGGGGTGAAAAAGGTTGGGGACCCCTGTGTTAAGGGATGTTCAAAGTGAGCTTTTTCAGTAAGAAAATAATATCCAAAATATCGCCAAGTAAATTATGGTGCATCATGGCCTCTTCCATTTTGAAGAGACAGTTGTCCAGCAGGCCGAGGCAAAGAGGCAGTCCCGAAACCAGCAGAATCAGGGAGCTGGACAGGGGACCTTAAAGACTAATTGCTACATTTTCATGTGAATTTTCATTGACAAATCCACTTCCTCAGACATAAGAGGACACCTACTCTTATGTCTGAGGAAGTGAAATTGTCTATGAAAACTTGCATTAAAATATAGAAATTAGTCTTTAAGGTGCTACAACATTTTGGTCTTATTATTTCTCTTTTGTGTTTGGCTGACATGCAGGCACAGACTAAGAAGGTTACCTCTTTTAAAAATAGCAAGAAATAAAGGAAGGGAACTACCATGCTAAAATATTTCAGGAGACATTTGTTATCCCAGTCCTTGACTTTTGATTTGTGTTCATGGTGATTAGATAATAAGGATGTTAAGAGCTTATGAAAGATAGGTTGCAGCAGGTATAAAACTTTTTTATTCTGTTTTAGCTTTCAGTACAAACATGTTGAACTTCTGTGGAGTGGAAAGTCTTGCCACCATAGTAACATGTTGCCCTGCTTGTTAAAATGTTTTGCAGAGAATTGCTTTTCTTTATGGAGATCACCTCTTGCACAATGGCAATACGTGCACAAGAAGCACCATCCCATTTCATTACTCTGCTGGAACTTTTTGTTCAGTGGAAGTTCAATAGGATATTGGCCATTATGTTTAATCCTTAGAAGTGCAAAATAATGTATGAAAATGTAGATCTTGGAAGAAACATGCTTAAACTAGGGTCATTAGAATTACTTGTTGCAACACGGGCTAGCTGTTATTTTTATGGTAACAATATAGTAATGTAGCTGTCATCTACTTTCATTACCAGTTTTAGTTTTTACCCACCTTTTTTCTGTAAGGTGGGTGGGGAGGGATTCAATTCAAGTTTTAACTTACGAGATAACACTCTTTCTGTTGCTCTAATTATACTTTCTTTACCACAGACTAGAAAGTGTAGGAGGCAGCTGCTGACACATCCTGTTATACCTAGAGCATCCCCTTAAGAGACAATGGGATGTTTTAGGTGCTGCAGAAGGGGGGGGGGTTTGTTGCCTGTCAGATTTGACAAACTTTTGTTGAAAGATGTTATAGGAACAACAGAGATGGTCCCTCACTCTTCTGAGTGCTGTGAGACCCCTATATTCCAGTTATATAAGCAATCTCTGCAGAAGTAACTAGCATTCATCTTTGTGTTGTCCAAGGATATAATGGTAGCTTGTCTTATATTTGGACAGGACATGTCATTTTCAAATTGAATTTTAGATACACAAATATAACTAACAGTCCTGTAAAATGATGTGTCAGGACATTCTGCACTTTTAAACACAACACTTTTAATTATACAGCTTCTGAGACCAGTTTCAGTGCCCCAGTCTCTTTGACAAAAGCTTTGTTATTGCCAGATTTGACTTCCTGTTCAAGCTTTCTGCCAGACTGTGTGCTGGGACCTCCACTTTAGCCTGCCTTACAGCTGGAGTTCACTTATGGCCTTAGAAGCATCACAATTTCATTATCCACTTTCTTCTTGGCTCTCCCTTTGACAGCCTGAAAGCTTGTTTCATCTGTTCAACGGCCGCTGTCAAACGAAATTGGCTGTACGTATAAAAACACTCAGGGTTTGATGGGGGCAGGAGGAGAGTTTGGCTCGTGCTCGTAAGCGCTGAGCATTCTGGAAGAAATGCCAACAGAACTTCAAAACCAGGATAACAAAGCTTTGTCTTACTGATTTCCTGTAAACAGCTTTAATTCAGAGTTAAGGATTCAAAATTTATGTAGGAGAGCAGGCTGGGAAGCTGAAAAATCCATCGAGGTTGATGGAAAGGGTCAAAGGTTCCTCTTGCTGTAGAATCAGGTGTTAAGACAATACAAGATGATGGTGGCATTTCAGGCCAAAGGTAGGGACACTATCAAAAAATCAATTAATTAACTTCCCTGCAAGTGAAAACTGTGTATCAGGCGAGAGATTCTAGCCCACCTTACCCTAGTTTCTACTACAGATAGCCTCTCACCTGGAGGAAGGAGAGACTGAAAACTATCCTCCCACTCACAGTCAGAAGTGATTAGCCTACTATGCTAATCACTTCACTTCTGTATAAGAGCCATTCATTCTGAGCATTTGTTTAACTTTCGTTGCACCCACAATACTGGTACAGCATCCTAGTATCCACACTGTTTAGGGCTGAACCATGTGCCAACAAAGGCAAAGCAAGACACAAAACCTTGTTTTCTAGATGTTTTTTTTAAAAAAATACCACTGCCAGATTGTGGTACAATTTTGTTCTCCCTTGCTCTGATTTGCTCCAGAGCAGGATCTGCCTGTATAGACCCATGCGTTGGGTTGTTCTTAGCTGATCCTGTACACATTGTGGGTCCACATTATTCTATGATTTTACCCCTCCATACGTCAGGGACATTTAAAATGAGAAGGGAATAGAGGAGAAAGTGAGGTAGGCGGGGAGAGAGCAGGGAGACAGGGAAAAGGGAAGGGCAGCCTGTGTTGGGAGTGAGACATTAGGGAGTAATTCCAGATGTGTACTTACAGGTGATACTAGGACAACCAAGAGCATACTGGGAACATCTATTCAAATCTGTAATTAAAAAATCCTAGAATGATCAAAACAATGTGGGACTAATTAACAACACCACTGTGTGGATGAGTCTTAATTATCTCGGTGCAATTTATTGTTGTGGTCACCAGAGGGTGGAGGTGTGATAGCTTCAAGGACTTCCACAGGGATAATTCAGGAAGTGGTAGAAAATCTGTTAATGATACCTATACGTTGTTGACTATAGTCCAGGAGCCAAGTCTTGATCGGCACCTTTAAGATCGCTGCTGTTCTCTCTTCTAATGATCTTTCCTCTTTAAACTGGATTTGAACTAGTTTAATCCTTCAAATAGATGCTGCTTTCAAACAGAGAACTGTCTTTCTTAAAGTAAGGTATGTGGCTGCAAACTTAAGACAGAAACAATGCATTCTCTCTCTCTCTCTCTCTCTCTCTGATCTGGATTACAAGATTCTAGGCCTTTGCCTTAGCACAATCTCAACCCTAAACTTAAATCACTTCACCTCTGTAGCTGCTTTTCATGAAAGGAAAAAAACCCATGGATTATACTAATGATAAGCAGCTATAAACTGTTCCCTGCAGCTTGAGGCTGTCTTTTAGAAATGATGCAGCACCCTCTTAATCAGACAAATATTGAATAGCTTGCAATAAGTTGAACTCTCCTTCTGATTAGTCTTTTGAACAGATCAGTTTCTAATCCATAAACCTAATTTGAGTTGGGGTATTCCTCACTGTCAAGTAAGGACAGCCAGTCAACACATTGTTTTTAAAAGCAGTTTTAGGCTAATGTTCGTGGCTTCCTAGTAGACTAGCCCCAGCATCTATCTTTGTTGTTCTTAAATCATTGTCAAGTTGTTATCCTTGCATGTCCTATTGGGAATGCTGTACACACACACTTAAAAAATAGAGTGTGGGGCAGGGACAGATGTGTGTCTGAAAACATAGATAATGATCTACAGGGCTAGCATCAGTAGTCAATATTTTCAGACACATGTGGAGGCCTGCATCTAAAAAGGGATCAGATTCCAAACACCCGGAGCTATCCACTCCTGCTCCTTGTCCTCTTCTTCACTTTGTTTACCTACCTTCTCAACAGGCTGGAATGTATCCACAGGATGGTGATCACATTGGTAAAAGATCTGGAAACCACCAACTTCTGTAAGGAACAATTGAGGGCATGTAGCCTGGAGAAGTGAAGTCTAGGAGGCAATCCTATAGCCTTCTTCAGATATCTGAAACACTATCATAATGTTTGTTTTCCCCTGCTCTAGAGGACCTGAACCATTGGATGTAAAATACAAAAAGGAGAGAATTTAACATCAGGAAGACGTCTTGATGAAAACAACTATTCAGCCACAGAATGGAATAATTTGGAAAGGGGTGGACTCTCCTTTGTTGGAAATTTTTAAATAAAGACCGGATACCCCTTTACAGGGATGCGTTTGCTGCAGGTTGGCAAGGGGGTTCAATTAGGTCCCTTCCAATTGTACAGTTCTATGATTCTTCAAGCAAATATGCAATGAAGAAACGAAGGAGGAGTTGTAATCCTTCACTAGATTCATCCTCCTCATCTCTTTGGAGGCTGACAAATGGGCCCAGAGGGAAAATGGGCAGTTAATGGGCAAACATGTCAGTAGCAAGGAGAAGAA